TTTGGGTGGATTGAATCGAGAAGCCGTTCTGGACCACATGTCCCCGCCTGTCCAGGGCCTTTGCATCCTCCTCATCCCGTCCGATTTAATTCTTCTCATCACTTCACGTCTCGCGAACAGGACACTTTAGATCTATTCCTTCCATCATGTCGTTTACTATATCAAAAATGCACTGGTCCTAAACTGACCCCTGTGGGACCCCCTTTGTAAAGGCGATGTTAAAATTTTGAAAATTTGGCCCCCCGAGGATTCCCCTTTTTGGTGCCCCCCCCTTTTTGTCACCGGACCCCCAGCACTAAAATGGGGAACTGTCAAAGGTTTCACAGGAAAAAACCTCTACCCAAACCCCCCTTCTGGCCTTCTTTTTTTTCCCTAAAACTCCAAGGTTTTTGCTTTGCCTTCCATGAACCCAGCTTTTTCATTTTAACTTGTCCCCTTCCAGGTGCGACACCTCTCCCCCTGAAATATTTTCCCGATTTGAACAAAATGTCAGAACACAGGCTGTTTTTTTTATCCTTTTCTTTCCTTTTTTAAAATGGGGATCAACGCTTTTTCTCAGGATTTTCCCAGTTTCAAGGTTGTTAGTTGTGGTTTTTTTAAACACATTCTGCTCCTTTTTCTAAGGCCCATGGGGAGATGTTGGGGCCGGCCCATCGCCTTTAGGTGTAAGGTCACTTAAAGCTTCACCTCCTCCTCAGTTGTTGTATGTCTCCAACCTTGTTGGTATATTCCCCCTTTATGTTTTCCCTTTTGTGCTGTCTTCCCACAGCCCTTTCCCGTCTCACGTAAAAACTTCCTTTAAAACTCCTGTTCACTCCTCACATACCTCCTGATCATTTCTTGGAGTTTTCCCCCCTTTTGTCCTTAACGATCACCTGGTCTTTGACTTTCTTTCCCCGATGTGGGATACAACATTTCGGGTCAGTCTTGATTTTCGAGCTTGTCATTTTTTATACTGTCGCTGGGCCCCCCTCATTACCTGTGCGTAATCATTCCTGGGTCTGCCGACTCCCTATTTTTTGTGTGCTCTCCTTCTGTACTTTTTCCATTTCTATTGCATTTTTTTTTTGCCTCCTTACACCGTGTGTGTGTGTGTGTGTGTTGTGTGTGTGTTTTTGTGTGTTTTTTTTTTTTTTTTTTTTTTTTTTGTGTGTGTGTGTGTGTGTGTGTGTGTGTGTGTGTGTGTGTGTGGTGTGTGGGGTGTGTGCTCACCTAGTTGTACTCACCTAGTTGGGGTTTGCAGGGGTCGAGTCCAAGCTCCGGGCCCCGCCTCTTCACTGGTCGCTACTAGGTCACTCTCCCTGAACCATGAGCTTTATCGTACTTCGGGTTTTAAAGCTATGTATGGATCCTGCCTCCACTACATCGCTTCCCAAACTATTCCACTTCCTGACTATCTGTGGCTGAAGAAATACTTCCAACATCCCTTTGATTCATCTGTGTCTTCAGCTTCCAACTGTGTCCCCGTGTTGCTGTGTCCAGTCTCTGGAACATCCTGTCTTTGTCCACCTTGTCAATTCCTCTCAGTATTTTGTAAGTCGTTATCATGTCCCCCCTATCTCTCCTGTCCTCCAGTGTCCGTCAGATTGTTTTCCCCCTTAACCTCTCCTCATAGGACATACCTTTCTTAACTCTGGGACTAGTTTTGTTGCAAACCTTGCATTTTTCTCTAGTTTTTACTATTGGCTGGTGTGGGTTCCAACTGGTGCCGCAAAACTCCAATTATGGGCCTAACGTACACGGTGTACGGGGTCCTGAATGATTCCTTTTTAAAAGATGTCGGAATGCTGTTCTGAGGTTTGCTAGGCGCCCAAAATGCTGCAGCAGTTATTTGGTTGATGTGCGCTTCAGGAGATGTGCCTGGTGTTATACACACCCCAAGATCTTTTTCCTTGAGTGAGGTTTGTAGTTTCTGACCCCCTAGACTGTACTCCGTCTGCGGCCTTCTTTGCCCTTCCCCAATCTTCGACTTTGCACTTGGTGGATTGAAACTCCAGAGCCAATTGCTGGACCAGGTCTGCAGCCTGTCCAGATCCCTTTGCAGTTCTGCCTGGTCTTCGATCGAGTGAATTCTTCTTATCAACTTCACGTCATCTGCAAACAGGGACACCTCAGAGTCTATTCCTTCCGTCATGTCGTTCACAAATACCGAAACGCACTGGCCCCTAGGACTGACCCCTGGGGGACCCCGCTGGTCACAGGTGCCCACTCTGACCCCTCGCCACGTACCATGACTCGCTGCTGTCTTCCTGACAAGTATTCCCCTGATCCATTGTAGTGCCTTCCCTGTTATCCCTGCTTGGTCCTCCAGTTTTTGACCAATCTCTTGTGGGAACGTGTCAAACGCCTTCTTGCAGTCCAAGAAAATGCAATCCCCCACCCCTCTCTCTCTTGTCTTACTGCTGTCACCATGTCTTTAGAACTCCAGTAGGTTTGTGACACAGGTTTTCCCCGTCCCTGAAACCATGTTGGCTGCTGTTGATGAGATCGTTCCTTTCTAGGTGTTCCACCACTCTTCTCCTGATAATCTTCTCCATGATTTTGCATACTATACATGTCAGTGACACTGGTCTGTATTTTAAAATGCTTCATGTCTGTCTCCTTTTTAAAGATTGGGACTACATTTGCTGTCTCCATGCCTCGGGCAATCTCCCTGTTTCGATAGTGTATTGAATATTGTTGTTAGGGTACACATAGCGCCTCTGCTCCCTCTCTCAAAACCCATGGAGATGTTATCTGGCCCCATTGCCTTTGAGGTATCTAGCTCACTCAGAAGCCTCTTCACTTCTTCCCTCGGTTGTGTGCACTGTGTCCAGCACTTGGGGGTGTGCCCCACCTCTCCGTCTTTCTGGAGTCCCTTCTGTCTCCCCCTCTGTGTGTGTGTGGTGTGTGTGTGTGTGTGTGTGTGTGTGTGTGTGTGTGTGTTTTTTGCGGGTACGTGCGTGTGGTGTGGAGGGCGTGCACACATACGTGTGCCGTGTGCATATATGTGCGCGTGTGATATAGTCAGAAGATGGGAGAGGTTTCCCCGCTTGGCACGAGTGCACACACACACACACACCAACACACAACAACACACACCACACACACCCACACACACACACACACACAACACACACACATATATATATATATATATATATATATATATATATATATATATATGCGACACAGCAGAAAGCATGACACATCAGAAAGCATGGCACACAGCAGAAAGCATGGCGGCACAGCAGAAAGCATGGCGACACAGCAGAAAGCATGGCGGCACAGCAGAAAGCATGACGACACAGCAGAAAGCATGACGACAGCAGAAAGCATGGCGACACAGCAGAAAGCATGGCGGCACAGCAGAAAGCATGACACAGCAGAAAGCATGACAGCAGAAAGCATGACGACACAGCAGAAAGCATGGCGGCACAGCAGAAAGCATGGCGACACAGCAGAAAGCATGGCGGCACAGCAGAAAGCATGACACAGCAGAAAGCATGACAGCAGAAAGCATACGACACAGCAGAAAGCATGACGACACAGCAGAAAGATGACGACACAGCAGAAAGCATGACGACACAGCAGAAAGCATGGCGGCACAGCAGAAAGCATGACGACACAGCAGAAAGCATGACGACACAGCAGAAAGCATGACGACACAGCAGAAAGCATGACGACACAGCAGAAAGCATGACGACACAGCAGAAAGCATGGCGGCACAGCAGAAAGCATGACGACACAGCAGAAAGCAAGACGACACAGCAGAAAGCATGACGACACAGCAGAAAGCATGACGACACAGCAGAAAGCATGACGACACAGCAGAAAGCATGGCGGCACAGCAGAAAGCATGACGACACAGCAGAAAGCATGACGACACAGCAGAAAGCATGACGACACAGCAGAAAGCATGACAGCAGAAAGCATGACGACACAGCAGAAAGCATGACGACACAGCAGAAAGCATGACGACACAGCAGAAAGCATGACAGCAGAAAGCATGACGACACAGCAGAAAGCATGATGACACAGCAGAAAGCATGGCGACACAGCAGAAAGCATGGCGGCACAGCAGAAAGCATGACGACACAGCAGAAAGCATGACGACACAGCAGAAAGCATGGCGGCACAGCAGAAAGCATGACGACACAGCAGAAAGCATGACGACACAGCACAAAGCATGACGACACAGCAGAAAGCATGACGACACAGCAGAAAGCATGACAGCAGAAAGCATGATGACACAGCAGAAAGCATGATGACACAGCAGAAAGCATGATGACACAGCAGAAAGCATGATGACACAGCAGAAAGCATGATGACACAGCAGAAAGCATGACGACACAGCAGAAAGCATGATGACACAGCAGAAAGCATGACGACACAGCAGAAAGCATGACAGCAGAAAAACATGATGACACAGCAGAAAGCATGAGACACAGCAGAAAGCATGATGACACAGCAAGAAAGCATGATGACACAGCAGAAAGCATGATGACACAGCAGAAAGCATGACGACACAGCAGAAAGCATGACGACACAGCAGAAAGCATGATGACACAGCAGAAAGCATGACGACACAGCAGAAAGCATGACGACACAGCAGAAAGCATGATGACACAGCAGAAAGCATGATGACACAGCAGAAAGCATGACGACACAGCAGAAAGCATGATGACACAGCAGAAAGCATGACGACACAGCAGAAAGCATGACAGCAGAAAGCATGATGACACAGCAGAAAGCATGATGACACAGCAGAAAGCATGATGACACAGCAGAAAGCATGATGACACAGCAGAAAGCATGATGACACAGCAGAAAGCATGACGACACAGCAGAAAGCATGACGACACAGCAGAAAGCATGATGACACAGCAGAAAGCATGACGACACAGCAGAAAGCATGACGACACAGCAGAAAGCATGATGACACAGCAGAAAGCATGATGACACAGCAGAAAGCATGACGACAGCAGAAAGCATGATGACACAGCAGAAAAGGACGCAGAATGATCTTCATAACATGTGTCCATAACCGTGGCAACGTGACTCAGGTGCCAGCTAAGCAGAGTATGGAATGGCAGGTAAAGTGCCAAAACCTGGCTAAAACATTGATACTGTTTTCTTATACAGTTGACTTTGCAAACCAAGACCTGTTACATCAGCCTAATTTGTTGTCCATTCCCAAGATATACACTATCCACAAGACAGCTAAATCTTAAGTGCATATTTGCCACTAAGTAAACATGGGGAAGCAGTTGTTTTAGGCACAGGTACACTAAATACGGTTTACACAAATTATCATACATAATATGTGTGTAAATTACAACACACAAATAACCCGCACATAGAAGAGAGGAGCTTACGATGACGTTTCGGTCCGACTTGGACCGAAAAGGATGTATTTTGCGTACGATGTTCTCCAAGAGGGGGAGTCCTGGCACGGGTCTTATCTTGCGATGACCCATCTCTGGCTCCCGAACGATCAAACGAAAGAACAAGTTCAGGTAAGATCCCAAATGGGATGAGCGGGGAAGGCGGAACAGACGAAGAATAGTGCTGGAGAGAAGTGTTCTTAGTTGTAGAAATAGAGCCAGGGGCTCCCGAAGGAGGAGGGAGTATACATATAGGCAAGCTGACAGGAGCGGGACATGGAAGGAGGAGGAGGAGGAGGAGGAGGAGGAGGTGGTGGTGGTGGTGATAAATAAGTAAGTAAGTAAGTTTATTCAGGTATACACAATACAGTTACATAGAATTATCATACATAGCAGCATATGTGTAGAGAACCTGGGATAACCCAAAAAAGTCCCGACAGAGTGACTATTTCCATTGGGGTCCTTTTACCTTATTATTATAATATAAAGGTTATAAATTTTTCTTATTATTCTACAATGAAGATAACAACTTATTATCATACTAAAAAGACTATCTACTACACGAGGGTCATTAAGAATCAAAATACGGGGTCATTACTAGGAATATGGTGGTGGTGGTGGTGGTGGTAGTGTAGTAGTAGGGGAGGTAGTATAGTAGTAGTGAGCGGTATAATACTAATCAAGAGGAGTACTAAAGGGAAAAGCAGGTCCCCCACAGGGGAGTACACAAGGAAGTAGGTCCCCACAAATAGGAAAGGCCACAGGGAGGGGAAATAATGAAAGAAAAAATCCCAAGGCAGAAGAAAAAAACCCCAAAAGGGGAAAAAAGAGGAAAGGGGAAGAGGGAAAAAGAAGAAAAAAAGGAATCAGGTTAAGCGGGGGTTTTTGTAAGTTTGAAGATTTTACAATGTAGGGGAGATGAAGCATCACAAGACAAGGCCCGATTAAGATTACACAAAAAAAGTTGTGTTTAAAGGGCCCCGACCGTGTCGCAAGTCATCCTTTATTTTAGGTAAACACTATGCAACAGTTTGGTATTTGTTTTCGAAAATTTCGCCTAACAATATGTTTCAGCTAGGAAAAATGCTCTTCCCAGACGAGGGACTGCCCCCTCAAAATTTTAAGGGTGAGGATGATTACCTTTTTCAAGTCTCTTCTGCTTCTATCAATTTTTTACTCGACTGAAAGCCTACGTGTAGGCGAACGTTTCAAAATAAAATACCAAATGTTGCTAGTGTCTTACCTAACAACCTGTCGTTTTTATACCATTTTAATTTTTCTTCTTCTATGTGCGTTTTATTTGCGTATTGTTCAGCCACGGCTTGTCCCCTTTTTTTTGTTATTTGTGAAAAATTACTAGATAACCTCCAAATAAGTCTAAATTACTTTTTTCGGGAAAGATTTAGTAATAAGATCGCTCAAGCGGGGGAAACGTTGGAAATAAAGGGTAAAAAAACCCGCACAAGGGAAAATATAAAATAAAAGTGTCTGTGATTGATAAAGCCCCTGTGGGGGGAAACGTTGTCAATAAAGGATACATTATACTGCTTATGAAAACCATACCTGGGTGGGGATGAACCCGCCATCAGGTTAAAACTCCAGACCCTCGCGTTAGCCCTGGACCATTTGTGGTCAAAAGTGGGCCATGAAACCCTTTTTTTGGTGTAGAAATATAACTAGTTGGGGGCTTATTGTAGTAGCTGTTCCCGAGCTAACGCGACGGTCTGGATTTTTTGAACACTTGACCGCGGGTTCTTTCCCCCCCCGTGGTATGGTTTGTTTGCAATGGTTTATTACGATTTTCCCGAGTCATGCTTATTGTTTTATGTCTAGGGAGAAAAAATGGGTGGTCTTTTCGCTGGGGTTTTGGGGGGTTAACAATATAAGGTGAAATTAAAGTTATTTGGGAACAAACTTTCTGTACGCCAGGGGTACTGGCCCCGTTCCCCGTGAATACTGGGCCCGTTCACGTGAATACGGCCTCGTTCACTGTGAATACTGGCCCGTTCATGTGTACTGGCCCCGTTCCTGTGAATATGGCCCGTTCACGTGAATACTGGCCTCGTCACGTGAAAACTGGGGCCCCGTTCATGGAATATGGCCTCGTTCACTGTGAATACGGCCTCTTCACGTGAATACTGGGGCCCGCTCATGTAAAATGGCCTCGCCAGGAATCGGGGCCCCGTTTACTTGAATACTGGGCCCGCCACTGTGAAACTGTCGCTACTGTGAAAACTGGCCCGTTTCACTGTATATGGGGTCGTTCAAGTGAATACTGCCTCGTTCCTGTGAAAATGGCCCGTTTCACGTGAATTCGGCCTCGTTCCTGTGAAAACTGGGCCCCGCCATGTGATCGGGCCCCGTTCACGGAAAATGGCCTCGTTCACTGTGAATACGGCCCTTCACTGTGAATATGGGCCCCGTTCACTGTGAATACTGGCCTCGTTCACTGTGAAAATGGCCCCGTCACTGTAACTGGCCTCGCCCCTTGAATACTGGCCTCGTTCCGGAAAATTTTCCCCGTCCTGTGAATACTGGCCTCGTCACGTGAATAATGGCCCGTTCAGTGAAACGGCCTGTTCCTTTTGGGAAAAACTCCTCGCCCTGTGAATACTGGCCTCGTCACTGTGAAACTGGCCTCGTTCCTGGAAAATGGCCTCTTCATTGAATACTGGCCTCTTTCCTGTGAATATGGCCTCGTTCATGTAAATAGGGTCGCTCATGGAATTGGCCGTTCACTGTAAATATGGCCTCGTTCACTGTAAATACGGGCCCGTTCCTGTGAATACTGGCCTCGTTCACTGGAATTAAGGCCCCTCGTTCACTGTGAAACTGGCCTCGTTCACTGTGAAACTGGCCCGTTACGGGAAATACGGGCCCTCGTTCACTGTGAATACTGGCCTCGTTCACTGTGAATACTGGCCTCGTTCACTGTGAATACTGGCCTCGTTCACTGTGAATACTGGCCTCGTTCACTGTGAATACTGGCCTCGTTCACTGTGAATACTGGCCCCCCATGGAATACGGGCCCTCGTTCACGTGAATACGGCCTCGTTCATGTGAATATGGCCCGTTCACTGGAATAGGGCCTCTTCCCTTTGTATGGCCTGTTCACTGTAAAATCGGGCCCGCTCACTGTGAAACGGGCCCTCGTTCACGTGTTTTGGCCCTCGCTCACTGTGAATATGGTCGTCACTGTAATCGGCCTCGCTGTGAAAAAAGGGCCCTCGTTCACTGTGGGGGGGCCTCTTTACTTGTTTCGGGCCCCGTTCAGTAATAGGGGCCTCGTTCCGGGAAATTTCGGGCCTCGCTCACTGGTACGGGCCTTTCTTCACTGTGAAAGGGCCCCCGCTCACTGTGAATAGGGCCTCGCCACTGAAAATACGGCCCCGTTCACGTGAATACTGGCCCTGTCACTGTGAATCTGGCCTCGTTCACGGGGAATCTGGCCCGTTCCTGTAAAAATTTGGCCCGCTCACTGTGAAAGGGCCCTCGCTCCTGTATACTGGCTCGCTCACTGAATACGGGCCTCGCTCACTGTGAAACTGGCCTCCTCACGGGAATCGGGCCCCGCTCATGGAATACTGGCATCGTCACGGAAATGGCCTCGCTCACTGTGAATATGGCCTCGCTCACTTGAATACTGGCCTCGCCATGGGGTCTGGCCCGCTAAAGTGTTTACGGGCCCTCTTCACTCAGAATAGGGCCCTCGCTCATGTGAATACGGCCTCGCTGAGTAAACAAGCAAAGAGAAACAATCGGAAGAGGTTTTTCACTTTCCCATAAACCCAAAACCTTTCACTGGTCTACTAGCGCCCCCCGGGAGACACGCACACACTTACGTCTTAATGCAACCACAACCTAGTAAACACACGCAAAAGGGTCTGGGAAAAGGAATGGTAAGAAAGACAGGACTGGTAGGGAAGGAAGGGATGGTGAGTTTTTCTCCTGAGCTTTTGGGGAGTACGTTCTAGGTACCCGAGGCATTCCCTAAATTAAAAGGGGCTCGAATTAATACGCGCGTTTTAAAATTTGGGTATACAAAGTAGACTGTTTACCTAACTAAGATGCGTCAGTGTACAACAAAATTTTAGTCTCGAGCATACAATACTAAGATGAAAATTCTTGTACAAGAATGGTATACAATACCGACAAGATGAAAGTAAGACACACATGCAACATCTGGGTATCTTTAATGTAGAGTTTCACCATCCAGTGGCTTTAGCAATACAAATTCTAGGACATAATTTGAAGACCGTATAACTATATACAAAAGATGAGGTAATCAGTCCCTCAGCCTTGGCTGAGAGGGAGTTGGGGTTGGTCTTAGTGGGACTTGCACACGAGTTAATAGTTATCAAGGCACCTTAACTACTGGGAACGCTTGGAAGCACTTGACTTGTACTCGTTGGAACGCAGGAGGGAGAGATATATCATAATCTACACTTGGAAAATCTTGGAAGGAATGGTCCCAAATCTGCACACAGAAATCACTCCCTACGAAAGTAAAAGACTGGGCAGGCGATGCAAAATGCCGCCAATAAAAAGTAGGGGCGCCATTGGTACACTAAGAGAAAACACCATAAGTGTCCGGGGCCCAAAACTGTTCAACAGCCTCCCATCAAGCATTAGGGGAATTGCCAATAAACCCCTGGCTGCCTTCAAGAGAGAGCTGGACAGATACCTAAAGTCAGTGCCGGATCAGCCGG